CTCGAGGGTGATTATTCGTTGTTTGTTGCTTGAAATTGAAATAGATTTTTTTTGGTGTGAAACCAGTCTCGTTGCTTTTCAGACAGACCTCATATTATCAAAGGGAGAAGAAATTATCCTAATTTTTCAGGGAATAAGGAAATACTTATTAAACGCAAAAAGGAGAAAAAAAGAAGTTGCGCGCTACAGTTAACGTTGCACAAATTAAAATCGCTGGACGCAGTTCAAATTCCGACTATAATCTGTGGCATTCACTTTCACGCAAAATTTATCCCATGTCTTGTGTAATATATGGGATAAATAGCATGACAGAATGAGTTCTTTATCTTTGAATGGCAAACATTCTAGGGGAAGGATTGCATTGAAATAATATAAAAATATATCAGCAGAGAAACAAAGTGAGAAAAGAAACACAATCCTACCTTCACAACAAAACAAACCAAAGCTAGAAGAAAATGCGCCCCCAGCTGAAAAAGCAAAACAAATGAAAATGCAACAAAACTATTCATCCTTTAAACACTAGGGAGAAATGGGGATTAAAAAAATAACGTCTTTACAGCAAACTACCAATCAGTGAGACTGATAGCGAAATCCAGGGAAGTCGACCAGATATAATTGTAGAAAATGTTGTAAATACATGTCTGCTGATAGATGATGCAGCACTAGCCTTTAAAGGCACATTTTTGAAGACGTATGAGAACTTAATTAAATATAAGGACTGTGATATAGAAACCAGTAGAATATGGCATCTCAAGACATCAACATTATCGGTTTTTATTGGGGTTTTGGCTATTTAAAAAAGAGCATAAAAAGATCTCTATATTTTTGATAAGATATAATGTAACTATTTACACCATTTACGTCGTTAGGACTGTTGTCCTCGTCTTTATTGACACATTCATGACATTTCGGCCGTTGTATGTTCCGGCCTTCTTCGGATGATATACGTTGGAATTTCGATACGAATCCTTTATTTGGTCCACGGGATAAATTATCTAATTTTGCGTATCATGGCTTTTTTTGTGGGTGGATACCTCAGTTGACAACTTTCCAATAACTTGCAGTTTTTTCGTAAAGCGACCCATTGTCACACTGTCTTTTTTGCTGCACTTTATCGTATCTGTCTATTGAACTTAATACGGCTTAGTATGGATCTAAAAATATCTGAAAAGAATCGCCTATTCTACGTCGATGAATTGAAATTACAGAGTGCGATGGGGAATTGTCACCATTCTATATTATTCATTTCACGCATGCGCGTTGCTTGTTTTTAATTTTGTCGACTGCACAGTATAGTAGGGTCAGTTGGGCACCGTCTGTGAGAAAAAAGAGCACCATGACGCAATTCACACTGCCACCAATTTGGAAACGTTATACTGTATTGCTTGGCATTTGCGCCGGAAGTCCAATACGAATATTTCAGAATGTTTGGGTGCGAATCTGAGGACAGGATTCGAAAATAGTTGGATGAGTCTAATGGTTATACGAAAATGTTTGGAGTGATCAATAGCTATGGCGACGTTATTCGTCCATTCATCTTCCGACAGGGCTTCAGGATCAACACGAAAGCCTATATTCAAAGCAACTCAATTTCTCACCGTCTTCTTTGTTGCCATCTTACGTCTCTGTGAATTGAACTTAATACGATTTGGTATGAATCTAAAAAATGCCTGAAAAGTATATAAATCGCTTATTCTACATCGACAAATTGATTATATATGGTTAAGTTTTGAGAGTCTTCGAAACATTCATCTTTACTGACAAGTGTTTCGAGAGCCAACCGCATTGATATCACACTTGTACACAAGATCATGAAAGATGTTAAAGTTCCTTTGAATAAGTATATGATGAAGGTGGGGCAGGCAAACTCCTACATATATCCTGCCAGGTCAAATTAAAGAAATATACAAAGAATCAGCTCAATTTATCCATTTGGTGGTTGGTGCACTCGGGACTATTTCCAAGAATAGTTTTGTTTCATAAGATGTCTTTGGGATACCTGGCATCATATGGAGTGCGAAGTTACTCATGTGCTAAGTAATGTGTTGTGTCTTAATACTATGGGGAAGAATTAAGACGTGGTATTCATCTGTCCGAAACATTTAAGAGTCGCAGAGGATCTCAAATAATAACTACTTATACTCTCCCCAAATTTTCCGGTTTTCCTGATTTTAATTTTCTAATGAGCCACAATTCTTAATTTAATGAATGAATAAGTTTCTTGTGAATTAAATCACTATACAATACACTAGGGAATTTCACTTTTTAATCGGTAACTATTTCAGCTGAATACAAAATGGGGAAAACAATTGTTTTTATGACATATCACTTTGGTGTCAACTCTCTCTTTGTACCCTGACTACCATCTAATGTATATTTCGTTAATGAAGGATAATTAGCTAGAAATTGATTAATATACAATAAGGTATATATATATATATATATATATATATATATATATATATATATATATATATATATATAGATAAGACTAGCAGCATGGCCCGGCGTTGCCCGTGCTTGATTCAACAATCGCACGACTCATACAGCAATCGCTATCACTTGGGCTCAAATATTTTTGCCCTTTAAAGGAGTGCCCTTTG